GCAGCCATTCCTGTGGTGTGACCAACTCTGTCTCTGGATCCACTGGCTCTTCTGTCAGAGCAGCTGAGCAAGCCCTGGTCCATACTGTGCTGTGGGCCTTTGCTCATTCAGTAAGTATTTTTGAGTGCCTACTGTGTGCCAGGGATTGTTCTAGAGGCTGGGATGCAGCAGTGGACAAGGCAGGCAAAACTCCCTGCCCCCATGGAGCTGACATTCATATATATAATGACCGATATATATAATCTGACATATACATAAAATGTCAGATGATGGTAAGTGCTTTAAAAATTAGAGCAGGTTAGGGGAGGGATATAAACTTTACATGGGTGCTCAGGGACAGCCTCACTAGGGTGACACAGAAACGCCACAAGGGGTGAGGGAATGAGCCATGGGGATACCTGGGAGCATTGCAAAGGGAACAGCCAGTGCAAAGATCACTTGGATAGAGGAAGGTAGAAGGAAGACCAGAAAGTGAGTCCAAAGGAGCTTCCTGCCTGCATGACTCATCCCTGTCCTCTGGATCCAGCGTCCTGCTGATTAATGCTGGCGGTGTGGACCCTGTGCAGGAAGATAGGGAGGGGCTTTGGAGCCACCATGCTGACCGTATTCTACTTCATGCTCACTCCCCTGGGTGGTCCTGTCTAGGGTTGCTTCGAGCACCGCTCCGGGTGCTCTAGGCATACACACCCTGTTTCCTTCTGGCCACCCAGTGTCCACTCTTCCTCCCTTTCTTGAATAGGTGACAGACACACCCACTCTGGAACAATTGGAACAGCCAGAAATGAGGACTGCAGATTCAGGAATGTAGAATTTCATGTAGCAAGTGTCTAAGGTTCTATCCCATCCAGCTAAGAAGACAGCCATCATTGGACATCACCCTGCCAAGCTGTCTCTTGGTCACCCATGGGTGTTGCGTGTGCACCAAGGGATTGCTGGGCAAGTTCCACTCAGTAATGATGAGAAGGCACCAGTGCTTGAGCATCCAAAGACCTGAGGTTCAGAAGTGGCGCCCTGCCATCTAATCCTGACCTGGAAGGAGCTGGAGGCACACTGGGCTGGTCCAAGGAAGGTCAGTGGCTTCAGATGAGAGGTAGACAGCAAGGAGCTCACCCAGGCTGCCAGCACATGCAGGGACAGCCAGGATGCCAAAGCAGCCTGTACAATAGGAAGCCCAGCTACGCAACTCCCCAGATGTTAGTCACCGAGGTCTCACCAGGCAGCAAACCACAGTGACTCAAAGCTTGGGTTTTTGGGTCAGTTGCCCTGGGTTCAAATCCCACTTCCGTTATTTCCTTTCTGTTGGCAAGTTTTTTCCTCCAGGAATAGCTTCCTTATCTGTAGAATGGGCTTACCTCCTTGGATTGTTATAAGGATTTAGTGAAATAGAGCCTCTGATCAATCCCTGTGTGGAGGTAATTATTGCTGCCTGACTGTCTAGTATTTGTCTAGTATTTGTCTAAGCTCTTGCCTTCCTTTCCCTTTCTAGCTTCGTTCTTGTTACTTGGACCAGCCATCCAGGGGATGTGGCACCTCCCAATGGCACCATCGTGCTAGCCCAGGGTAACAACATCAAACAGTTGATTCAAGGAGGGATGTTTTTAATGTAGGGCATAGGTTTTCTGGAGTGCCTGCGTTGTGCCATCCCAAGCGGAGGGCGATACCACCTTGAGCCTCAAAAGCCTTTTTATCCTGGCAACTCTACGAATTCACAAAACGCATATGACTGTCATTGCAGAGCTACCACTCCGGGCGCCAAGATCAGCAAGTAGTTCCCCATAGGAGAGGAGCAGTACAGGCAGCATCATACCACCAGGGGGCGCTGCCCAGCTGGTCTCTCTCCCCCATTTCTCAAGGAGGCTGATGGGAGGCAGAATGAGGAGCCCTGGATGCAGGTTTGCCCTTAGGCTGCGGTCCACGGGCAGCTAGTCTGCACCTTGAAGATCTGCCACCTCTTGGGCTGGGAATAGCAATAACAGGGACTCTTCACGTCACTTGGGTCCTTCACAGTTTGCATCCCGTTCCTGTACATGCATTCTATCTTATAACTAAGGGGATAAACCCCAGATAATGAACTAAGGCTCAGAGAGGTAAAATGGCTGCTTAAGGCCACACAGCTGGTAAATGGCAAAGCAAAGATCCCTCCTAGGCTTGCCTGCTGCCAACCCCGGGGCCCCAGTGTCTGACCAGAGGAGAGGCAGCATGGTGAGGGGGCAGGAGGGTGTCCTGGGAGACTGGAGCCAGGTCTGAGTCTTTCCCTTCCCATTCCTATCCATTCCCTTCCTGTCTTCCCACACTGTGGGATTTCAGCAAACTGCTCTATTTTGGGGAAAGATGGCAAGGGGCTCAGGCAGCACAATACTGAGAGCCCTCGATGCTCAGCCAAGATATGTGCTTTTCCTGGAGTGCAGCCTGGGCTCTCTAGGGATGATTTTCAGTCCTGCCAGAGACTTCCACACTAGCCACCCCAACTAGCCATCAACACTGCAGCCTGCAACTGCACCCCTAGTCTGGGGGCAGATGCCAGGATGCAAGGAGCCAAGGCAGCGTGCTAACAGAGGATGCCTGAGGCCACCATTCACTCTACATCATCACTATGCTCCATGCTGTACATGCAGTCTCATGACAGCCCTGTGAGGCACAATATTATGGTCTCCATTTTACAGGTGAGGAAACTGAGGCTCAGAGAGTACCTGAGCAACTCTGGAGAGGGGGAACTGGCTTTCCTCCCATCTCTGCCACTGACTGACTAGATGCACGAGGAGTGGGCAAACACGGATCTTAGCCTCTGCTTGGGTTCTGGAGAAGGTGAAGAAGGGCATAAAGGCTGGTTGTCCTTCAGCAAAGGTTTCCTGAGCACCAACTCTTGGAGATAGGGAGGAAGGAGCCCGCAGGCTTCCAGGAGCTCACAAACCTAGGGAGTCAGCCAGGTCCTCAGTGAAGGATATATTGCACCCATACCTGTGAGTGAGTATGTGCAGAGGACAGCAAGAGTGAGACAGGGGGCTCTGGTGGTCAGCCAAGGTTTACAGGAGGAGGGGGGACTGGAGCCAGTCATCAAAGGGTGAGGATGAACATTCTTTGACGCAGGGAGATGTGGGAGATCTATGAGCGAAAGCCAGGGCATTAGGGTCGTGGGCTGGGGCGGGGGAACAGCAGGTGAATGACGGCTCCTCTCTGGGGCACCCTCTTGGTCTTAGGAGAGAGATAAGGTGCAGGAAGACTCTGGGTGTCCATGAAGGGGGGTGCCCCAGGGAGCACATGCCTTATGGAGACCCATCTCAGTGGGAAGAAAAGTAGTTTGGGATTTGCTGTAGTCAGAAAATTTCATGCCTCCGTGTATGTGAATGTGTATGTGTGAGTGTATCTTTGAAGCCCTATGTTAAAGTAGTTTTGCCTCCGCAATCTCTTTTCCCTTTCCCAACTACCCTGAGAGGTTGGCTGGACAGAAATATCATCCTCAGGGACAGAGGAGTGAAAAGAACCCCAGTGGGATGATGTCTGGCCCACGGTCAGGGGGCTCAGTAGTTGAAAAGCCACGGTCTATCATGGATGGGCTCCTGGCCCCAGCTCTATGCTTCTGCCCCAAAACTTTTGCCTAGACTGCTCTATCTCCCAGGACCCTGCATGCCACAGGCCACCAAGCCACCTGCCTCCTCCTGCATTTTTACAGGAAAACCCCCAACCTGGTCTGGTAGGTATGGGGGCAGGAGTGAAGGAATGAAACCAGAAGATGAGGTGCAGTGGCTGCAGAGGCCAGAGCCCAAGACCAGGGCTGAAGGTCCATCTTCTTCTCCCAAACTGTTTAAAGTGCCCACCACTGCCTTAAGGAGGAACTGCCATAAGAAAGGACCTGGGATGGGTAAAGCCCTGTGCTGGTCCTCCAGGGCAGACTTGGAGAAATGGTCCCCCTAGCTTGACCTCTCCTTTCCAAATCTCCAGTGGGATGGCACGGAGGACTGAAGGTCTGGGGGGAGCAGGGAGTCAACTTCTGCTTCCTGCCAGTAACTGTGGGCACTTGCAAAGCTCTCCCTTAGTGCCAGACACTGCTCTGAGTGCTGCACACACATTCTCAATCTTCACAACCACCTCGGCAGGAAGGTATAATTATTACCTCCATTTTACAGGGAGGCATAGAGAGGTTCAGTGACTTGCCTAAGATCACTGTTTGTAAGTGGAAGAACTGGGGTTCAAACCCAGGAAATCCGCCTCTAGGAGCTACTCTGCCCCTGTTATTAATAACTATTATAAGCTAAGCCACCATTTGACTAGTACCTCCGGTGTGCCTGGGGCTCAGCTCCTCACGGCAAGGCTGGGACTTGGGCACTGATGGCCTGCACATTTCTCATTTCATAGATGAATAAATCCGGGCTTAGCAGGCGGCCTAGCGGGAGGCAACTTCACAACCTCACAGATGCTAGGTCCACCTAAATCCGAAGTGTCCATTCTACTCAGCCTCTTTGGGGGCGTCTTTGACTCCCTGTGTGACACTGGGAAAGCACATTTCTTTTCAGAGCCTCAGTTTCCCTATCGCTTAGGTCTTCTACTCCTGGCCTCCCTGCTCCAGCGAGTGCCAGAGTGGGTGGGGTTGCGGTGCTGTGGGAGTGAGGGTCTCAACTGCTCAGGACCTTTTCCTTCCCCCACCTTGTGCTCCCCCTCCCCCCACAACGTCCCTCGCAGAAGTTGCCGATCCGCTTTTGCTTTTTTTTTTTTTTTTTTCTCCAATGGTGAGTTGGGACGGAGAGCTGCTGGGTGCAGAAGGTCGCTGGTGCATCACGCAGAGGTCAGCTAGCCCGGGTAGAGAAGGCCCAGGTCAGATTTGGGGAAGGGCCCAAGGGCCCAGAAGCCACGTGCTCCGGGCAGTTCTGCTGGGAGCGGACCGTCCTCTGGGGAAAGAGAAGCGCCCCGGATTTGAGGAGGGGGAGGGGACGGGGAGCCTGAGGAGGCAGGTTCTGGACAGAAGGGATGGGGGTGGGGGGAGGTAGAGAGGACGCGGACAAAGGAGGCGGCCGGCAGCCCAGCTGTTTTGAAAAATGCTTCCTGTTTCTTTAAAGGCGCTGGTGGCTCGGGCGGCCGGGGCTGGGGAGGCGGCGGCGGCGGGAGCTGCCTCCTCTCCGGGCGGCGGCGCTGACTGATCTCGCGAACTGGGCTTCTGTGTAAACTGAGGCTAAACAAACACAGATGGAGCGCAGCGGGCGTTCTCCAGAAATGCTGGCAAGGCGGCAGCGACTTCAGATGACACTCTGAGCGCTCCGGGAACGGACAGCCCGGCGGCTTCGCGGAGCCGGCGGCGCAGCTGCCCCGGGCGAGGGGGAGAGAGGGAGGGAGGAGGGCGGGCGCGAGAAGGGGGAGAGCCCGAGACTCCCAGGCGCTCAGCGCGGCGGCGGCCCGGGCAGAGCCGGCGCGCAGCGTGCAGAGCGAGCGCGGCGGGCGCGCGGCCCGGGCAGCCCCACGCCCCTGACTCTCGCGCTGCCCGCGCCATGAAGCACATCCCGGTTCTCGAGGACGGGCCGTGGAAGACCGTGTGCGTGAAGGAGCTGAACGGCCTCAAGAAGCTCAAGCGGAAAGGCAAGGAGCCGGCGCGGCGCGCGAACGGCTATAAAACTTTCCGATTGGACTTGGAAGCGCCCGAGCACGGCGCCACCGCCACCAACGGGCTGCGCGACAGGACCCAGAGGCTGCAGCCGGTCGCGGCCCCGGTGCCAGCCCCGGCGGCGCCGGCGGTTCCCTCAGGTGGGGGTGCGGACCCAGCCGGGGAGCGCCGGGGCGCCCGAGCGTCGGAGGTCTCGGACGCGCGGAAACGCGGCTTCGCCTTGGGCGCAGTGGGGCCGGGACTCCCCACGCCGCCGCCGCCGCCACCGCCACCGCCGCCGGTTCCAGCGTCCCAGGGCCAAGTACCTGGGGGTCCCGAGGCGCAGCCTTTCCGGGAACCCGGCCTGCGTCCCCGCATCTTGCTGTGCGCACCGCCTGCACGCCCCACGCCGTCGGCGCCCCCTGCGCCCCCGGAGTCTTCAGTGCGCCCGGCGCCCCCCACGCGCCCCGGGGAAAGTTCTTACTCGTCAATTTCACACGTAATTTACAATAACCACCCGGATTCCTCCGCGTCGCCTAGGAAACGGCCGGGCGAAGCTACCACCGCCGCTTCGGAGATCAAAGCCCTGCAGCAGACCCGGAGGCTCCTAGCGAACGCCAGGGAGCGGACGCGGGTGCACACGATCAGCGCAGCCTTCGAGGCGCTCAGGAAGCAGGTACCAGCTCCCAGCCGCACACCCTCACTGCGCCCGAGGGATGGTTGCGGGAGTGGGTGGGTGAGTGGCGGGGGGATTTTCGGTCAGATGAAGGTGTGTGTGAGGCGCATATTGTTCCCGCCCGGTCGGCCCCAGGGCCCAGACACATTTGAGCCCTTCTAGGGCAGTAACCTTTGTCACAGCGTTGGTACGGATCTTAGCTTGCAAAGTGAGGGCAAAGGTTCGAGATCTCTGGCCAGGCACGCCCCGGTTCTTCCCCCAGCCCCCCAGGGTGACCCTGTCTGCGCGTCTGACTTCAGCCCTCATAGTTCACTTTTATGGCAGCGAGTTATTTGTCTCCCCGGGTCCCTTGGGCGCGGTGGGGAGTGGAGAGAGGGAATGTGGGAATCTGTCTCCAGCCAGGAAGAGTGGGGAAGACCCTTTCCCTTCGGGCATTTAGTGTGGTCTGGATCTTGGAAGGCCCAGATGCTGCGGAGGGGTGGACCTAGTTTTGCTAGCCCCTCTTCAGCCCCTGCGTCCCAAAAGAGATACCCCTACACTCTGGCTGCTTCGGGGTTCTGCACCCTTTTCCCTGGTATCCTTAAGGATCTGGGTTACAAGCCTGCGTCCCCTCCCCAGGGGGCAGCCTCAGGAATTGGCTGGTGAGAGCCTTCCTGGGGGATGCCCTCCGCTGCTCCCTTTCACCTCACGGTGAAGCAGGGAGGTCTACTGAGGGGACCGGATGGTTAGGGGATCTTCAGAGCCTAGTTCTGAGGTGGGCCAGGGGCTTCTCAGTTTGGGGCTGGTGGGCACTGCCCTTACCAGCGTCCTCTGGGGGGATGAGTGACGAAGAACATTTGTTAGAGAATTACCCTTAGAGGAGAGGGGCAGTTTTGCAATTACACTTTAAACAAGACTGGGACTGCCCTGGGGTTCTAGACTTCTCATTTTCTTAGAAAGAAGGGAGATCTTAGAAGAGGGTAGTAAGTGCCCCCTGCCCCCAGCCCCACAGGGCATGGGGATGGATTAGGGGTGGATGGGACTGGTTTAGATGTTCAGGTTTTTTGCTTACTCTATAGCCGATTTCTTGTGTGACTCCAAGAAAGTAACTCAGCCTCTCTCTTTAGCCAACAACAAAGCGTCTTAGAAAACATGATCTTCTTTCTGGATCCCACTCTCTTCTTCCTCCTGCGGGCGGAGTAGACAGGGACATGTGTCCATCCATTGGAAGGGAATTGAGCTCCTGGGAGAAAAGAGGCTCTACGACTTGAGCCAAAGTGTCTTGCTTGGGCTTGGGTGAGAAGCTTGGTCAGTGAGGTGGCCAACCACACGGGTTGGGACCCTGGGCAGTGGGCCCGGTGGAACATTCAGGCTTATTCTTGGACAGCAGCTCTGTGTCTGAATGCCTGGGGAGGGTGGCAGCCTGTAGAGTGTCCTACAACCCACCCCAAGGATGGAAGGATGACAGAAGGGCAGAAAGATGCCTGTCCACTTGCTCCCCTTGCAACTAGGGAAACCTCCCAGACTGGGGAGGCCACATGCCTAGAGCATCACAGCCGGTGAGTAGCAGGGCAGGGCTGTCACCTAGGTCCCTTTGGCTGCCAGTTCAAGGCCCCTTTTGCCTCGTTCATTTCTGAGAAAGTATTCATGGTCTCTGTGTACTCAACTACATCTCATTCACCCAGTGGCTTTAGCTTCTTTCAATAATATCCCATCTTGTTTGATCTTAACATCCTGGCAGATTGAAGTAGCCCATTCAATGGAATGGAAAACTGAGGCCTGGAGAAGGAAGGAAGGAGACTTGTCCAAGATCACCTAGTGGGTAAAGGCAGATGACAGCAGTTTCTGGAATGACTGCCTGGCCAAATGCTTTCCACCGTGCCATCTTTGTATCAGTGTCAAGTTTATTAACAATCAGAAGCTGGTTAACACGTGGCTGAGTCAGAGATGAGATTATTTAAGTCCTGGTCCCTTTTTGCTTCTACCCTTCTTGTGGAGAAGTTCTACATAAAAAGGACAGATTCAGGGACATACCTATGGCTATGTCATGATCATTACACGTGCCTAAGAGCACACACAAATACACGGTCACAGAGGTGCCTGCTCCTGTTCGTTCTCTCCTTGCTCAGACCGTTCTGTCCCTTCCCCAGAATGCTGCTGGGCCATAGGGGGCATCTGCCTATTGTCTGGGAGGAAAGGAAATATGGCAAGGGCACTCGTGGTCTCAGAGCCAGGGGCTGAGGCCACACCCACCATGGCATCCATCTGATGGAGAAAGTCCTGTGTCCCGAAGGAGCTCCTTCCTCCTCTGGGCCTCAGTCCCCCACCTGTAAAAGGTGCACACATCCACATCCCAATCCAGATACTCCAGTCCACACAAGCTGTCGCTCTGGTTTGACTGTTTGAAATGGGCCCTTGGCAAAGGAGGGAAAGGAAAGAGGATGGTTTTGCCTGAAAGAAGGGCTTGGCCATCATAGCACCGAGATCAGTTCTGGGACTGTGGCTGTAATCTGGGGTCTTGTTTCCCTCAGCAGCTTCCTGGTATGGCTAAAAGAGCACTGGATGAGGAGTTCAGAGGCCTCCTCTGGGTTTGAATCATGCCTCTGCTGCATGCTTTCTGTGTGATCATGGAAAGTCACTTCCCCTCTCTGGGCTTTAGTGGCTAAAGCTGGAAAATGGTGATAAGGCTCCCCATAGCTTCTTTGCAAAGAGCAAATGAAAAAACAAATGGGGCTGTAGGAGGAATGAACAATCCTTGAGCATTTATAGTGTCCTCAGTGCCAAACAAAGCCTTGAGAAATAAGTGGAAATAAATATTCTATAATCATTTTATTTAAAATTTTTAATGTTTATTCATTTTTGAGAGAGAGAGAGAGAGAGAGAGAGAGAGAGAGAGAGAGACTGAGACAGAGTGTGAGTGGGGGAGGGGCAGAGAGAG